AAAGGCACTCATTCACAAAGAGGCTGCCACTCAGAATCACAAAGAGGCCTTGCAAAGGCCCCTGGGAAGAGCTGATTCCCACTATCTCAGTCAGTCATAGATTGCTAGTTTTGTTCAGTGCTTCAAAGTACCTGCTTACCCACAAAACTAGACGAAAAGCTGCCTTTGCAGTATCTGTGGTACTGGCCATTAAGAATCCCAGAAAGCGGCTCCAACTTCTGGAATCTCCTGGAGTCTCTGAAATACAGGACCACTCCAGAGAAGAACTCCCCGAGTGCACTGTCCAGCATGGCCCGCGGCACTCCCAGGTCCAAATCCATTAACAGTCTCTGTGCTGGTCACTTTCAGTACACAGATTGCTAACGTTACAGCCTCTAACAATGGGTTTCTTTTTCCTTCATCTCATTAAAGAACTTGAAGAAAGGAACTTCTTTGAGCTAGCACCTTCATAGCCCAATATTTTCAAACAAAAGCTGAAAAGATAGTGCAGTCTAATAAAAGTACACACTGAATCAAAATTTTGGAACACATTAAACGAGGTGCCAAATCAATTTCCCCATCCCTGAATATGTCACTAAATCAGAGCTAGTCTATATGATGGCTTGGTGCGAATTAGGGAAAGGGGTACCCCCTGGGCAGACAGCCCCACTGACACATAGCTTGGTGATTAAATACTGCCTTTGTGCAAATCAGAAAAAGCCACCCCTTCTTCCAGGAGGACAGCCCTCCTACTCCCACCAGGGCACACAGCTTGAGAAGCAGAGTATAGACTTCAGCTCCCATTTACTCTCTCAACTGTGGGCCTGTGCAGCATAATGTTTGTCATAGATGCACTCTAATGAGCCTCTTTTGGTCACAAGGAATTGTCTGAAGTATGCCAAGTAATTGTAGATTTTAGCACAAGGATTCAAATGCCAGGAATTCAGGAAAAGTCAAACAATTGACCTTAGGTCCTGTTAGGGCTGCTGGCTGGAAAATGGATGGGATACCCCTGGTCCAAATACTGAGCTGATGAAGTGAGTGATTATTTGGTACCAGACATAAATTCTTTGGGTTCTTTTTATTGGAAAGCCTGGAGAAAGTTTATTCCCTTTAGAGGAGCTCAAGCTGGGACAGTCACCAAGATTGATATGCCAAGCACAAATGAAAATTTTTTCTACGAATTACTCATCACACATTTTTTGACTTTCCAGATGTCCAAGACAAAGTAACAATTTCTAGACACTTGTCTAACTGCACCTGCCCCTTGATTGTGACAAAGGATACATCATTATTAAGTACTATGGGACCTAGATGGGTTCCTGCCACTGCAGTTGAAGTCCCAAGGCCTGTGTGGCCCAAGACCTGGGTTCAGAGAGCCTGTGCATCAACATCTTGCTTATCCAAGCATGTCTTTGCAGCCACAGAACTACGGATGTGCATCCTCTAAAACCAGCAGATATTTATTTACTTATTTCTTGTCAATGCCTCCTGAAAAGGGCTCACTGCAGGCACAGAGGGCTTATTGGGCTCCCACCACTGCCAAACTCTTGGTGTTGTAACTCTATGAGTTTTGACAAATGTAAAATGTCATGTATCCTCCACTACAGTATCATACAAAAGAGTTTCACTGCCCTAAAAATGCCCTGTGCTCCATCTATTTATCCCTCCCCCACCCCCAAACCACTGGTAACCATTGATCTTTTTACTGTCTCTATAGTTTTGCCTTTTCCAAAATGTCATATAGTTGGACTCATACACTATATAGCCTCTTCAAATTGGTTTCTTTCATTTACTAACATGCGTTTAAGTTTCTTCCATGTCTTTTCATGACTTGATAGCTCATTTCTTTTTATCACTGAATAATATTCCATTGTATGGATATACTACAGTTTTTTTTGTCCATTCACCTATTGAAGGACATCTTGGCTGCTTCCAGATTTTTAACTATGAATAAAGCTGCTGTAAACATTTCTGTGCAGGTTTTCATGTGGATATAAGTTCTCAGCTCATTTGAGTAAATACCAGAGAGTGTTATTGCTGGCTCGTGTAGCAAGAGTGTTTTTATTTTTGTAAAAACCACCAAACTGTCTTCTAAAGTGGTTGCATCATTTTGCATTTGCACCAACAATGAATGAGAGTTACTGTTGCTCCATAGCCTTGTCAGCATTTGGTGGTGTCAGTATTTTGGATTTTGGTCATTCTAATAGCTATGCATATTTTGTTAAATTTGTACTTTTTTGGGGTGCTAATGTAAATGATGTTGTGTTTTTTATTTCAAATTCCAGTTGTTCATTGCTGATATATAGGGAAGCAAATAACTTTTGTATATTATCCTTACATTACCTTACTATAACTGCTTATCAGTTCTGGGAGTATTTTTGTCAAGTCTGAGATTTTCTACACAGACAATCATTTCCTATGTGAACAAAGATAGTTTTATTTCTTCCTTCCTAATCTGTATACCTTATATGTCCTTTTCTTGTCTTATTGCATTAGCTAGGACATCCAGTATGATGTTGAATAAGAGTGGTGAGAAGGAATATCCTTATCTTGGTCCCAATCTTAGCAGAAAAGCATCTAGTTTCTCACCAGTATGTATGACGTTAGCTGTAAGCTTTTTGTAGGTGTTCTTTATCAAGTTGAGGAAGTTGCCCTCTATTCTTAGTTTTCTGAAAGTTTTTATCATAAATTCATATTGTTCAGCTTTTTTCTTGTTGTGAGGATGGGAGTGACAACTTCCAAGCTTTTACCTGTCAAAGCGGAAACTAGAAGTCAGTCCTTTCAATATTCCATTCTGTGTAATCTTGGCAAAAAGAATGTCTTACTGAGAGTCAATCAATATTTGACTATCTTCCCTGGTTGCCAACACCTCAGAGAGAACTATCAAAATGTTTTTCCAAAATTGATTTACCTACCAATCACTTGGTAGGTAGAAGAGAAATAATCAAGATTTTCTCTCTCTTTCTATGTGTGTGTTTGGGTAGGAGATGAGCAATAAGATGGAAGTACCAGGGCAATTGGGCCCCTCTAGGCGGTGGGTACTCCACGTCCCTGCTCAATCAAACATAAGAAATGAATTTTTAAAAAGCTTCATAGTAATTCCTGCCATACTGTAAGTTCTCTCTCAGAAAAGTCCAGAGTTTGAGAAAACTAGACATAACCAGATCCAATTTCAGCTGCCAATTGAAAGAAGTCAAATCTTTCTCTTCTTTAAAATCTAAACAACTGACACACCACCCTGACGCTTCTTCTTTATCACCTTTCTAAACTCAAAGAAATTTAGTTTAGTATGTAAGGAGGGAAATGAAAAACATTTTATATATAAAGAAACAGTCTTAGAAATATGATGTGGTGAGGGGAGTGGGCAGGGCACCAACCAACTAAGGAAAAGCAGGTGCTGGAGATTTGGAGCTTGAGGATGGGCTAACCGTAGGTGCTGAGAGTGAATCTCCTAGTCAGTATTTCTCATTACTGGAGAACATGGGCTATACCCTTTTCTCCATCCCTGAATTGGTCTTCTGCTACCCACTGACTCCTTGGCCAGTGTTTTATTCTCATGGTGGAGAATGTGTGGAATAATTGGATTTAAATGAGTGGAGAAGAGGGGAAGGCCCATCTGGGGGACCAGACCTTCTTTCTCCTTATGGAGGAGGGCAGCTCATGATACAAGATGGCCAATGGATTCTCTCTCCAGGGCTTTGAATCTGACTGGAGGCCACAAGGACCTGGAGACCTAAGGTCCAGCTTCCAACCACCCTTGTACAGCCAAGAGAGTGGTGGACGTCAAAGTGGCTGGGCTCAAAGCACAGCACAGGCATCATGAACAGACTACGGGAAGTACAAAACTCTTAGGGATACACTTATCATCCACAGGACTTAGGATCTGTGGCAGCATTTCCTAAAGGGCAGCCCATGAGCCATCTGCCTCAGCTTTCCTGAGGAGCTTATTACAAATACAGATTCCAGAGCATTCTTCAGGCCTCTGAATCAGAACCTCTGCTGGTAGGAGCCTGGGATTCTGTGGTTTGAATTAGGTCCTACTCTGAAGCACACTAAAGTTTGAAAATAACTGTGCACTGAGTACATGTTATCGGCCATGTACAGAATGTATATATTTCTCACAAATATAAGGAAGGTGTCATCCCCATTTTATAGGTGTAGACACTGAGGTTCAATATGATTAAGGAATATGCCCAAGGTCACACAGCTAGGAAGTGGTGGCACTAGGATTCTACAAGCGTAAACAAATTGCTTACAAAAAAGCAAATTTCTAATATAGAAAAATTTAAAGCAGATGAATGGGGACTCTAAAAGGACCTTCCTTTTTTTTCTTCGAATTTTTCCAGTTTGTGTTATTCCGAACACTCTGTTTTTAGATAGAATGTTGTGTCTCTCTGAAAGCAACAATGGCAATCACCATGCATAAATAGGTTCTAAATTCATGTGGATGAGAGTTAAGATGGCATGCCCTTCTCCAATTAAATTTATGAGACGTTTATGGACCTTGGGACAGATCAGTTAAATAACGTAGCATCTTGACATGAATTTCTATTTTCAGAAAATAGAGATCAAGAGGAGGCTATTTCCAGAGGAAAGAAGAAAGGAGTAGTATTTAGAAAATATTTCCTCATTTTAAAGCCTCTTCATCTTGGGAATAATTCCAGAATATTTGTCTCATGGCTGATCTTTAAAAAACACAGACATCTATGAGTTAAACTACTATTTCAATACCCGCCCTTTATCCATGAACGTGAAAGCTCCTGCCACGTGGCTCAGTTTCACGAGGGGCACAGAGATGAGGAAGACCCATTTCAGCCACAGGGAGTTTACAGTCAAGAGAAGTCGAAAGAGAGAAGCCCGGAAGGATGATTGCATAACCCAGGACGCAATAAAAGAGAAGTGCTGACAACTAAAGGAGCTGAAACTGGCATGAGTCTAACGGACTGGCAACATCCCAGCAGACGCCAGGGTTCTACAGACGGCTCAACTGAAGAGACACGCAGGGAGGGACTACTTACAGAGGGGGAGGCCCACGGAACTGGCAGCTGCAGGAGACCATGACCCTCCTCGGCCTGCAGGGGCAGGAGGAGGTTCCCAGGGAGAGCATCTTCATCCGACCCAGCAGGAGCTGTGAGAGCGTGCTGCCAGCGTCAGAACCAAGGCTCGGGCAGGGAGGGAGCAGGCATCCACGCCGACCTCTCTGTTTTTCCGCCTCTCCTCTCCTGCTGCTTCCTCCCACCTGGAGTCCGGCGGGGAGGACAGCGCGTGAAGCCGACCACCCCTAGGCGTCAGCCTCCGGGAAGATGGAGCTGCGGGTGGAAGGCCAGCGAAGCCCACAAAGGTGAAGGCCGCGTGGGAACTTCAGGCCGCACAAATCCCGAAGCTGCCACCGGAGAAGCGGAATGAAGCCGGAGTAGGGATCAGCTGGAGAAAGAAAACAGGAAAGCGAGTCTCAGGCAAAGGAAACAGCGTGAAGGAAGGCGGGACGCTGAGACGCTCCAGGTCAGAGGTTCGTCTTTGGTGGAAAGTGTCTTTAATGGAGCAGAAGGGAAGGGCCCGGACCAGAGCCTTAGGGACTTCCCATCCTTACCCACCATGAACTTGATCCTGAAAGACCTGGAGAGAATTTGAAGGGACTTAAGCAGGGGAATCACTTTGAATCACTTTATACAGAGCCAGGACTAGGGGGAGACAAATGAGGGGCTTGCCCAGGGACAAAATTTTTGAGTGCCAAAACCTCAGTAATCGAGATAAGTAACATTGAAATGCAGTATTTTAAAAAATTCAAATTAATGCAAAAAGTACCTGATGAACAAAATATCAAAATTTTGAATAAAGGCAGGATCAATTTTACTGACTTTCCCTTTGTAATGTTCATAGTTACAACAGCACAGTGAGCGTGGTGTGGAGGACACATTGGTAGCTAGAGGCAGAGAAGTCAATGGGAATGCCGTTCTGATAGTCCAGGTCTGCACTGTCCAGTACAGTAGCCAGCAGCCACATGTGGCTAGTTACCACTTGAATTCTTAATTTCATTTCATCTTAATTAATTTAAATTTTTTACATTGATACTCAGTTCAGTGATTGGAAGACTGATGTATGTTTGGATCAACTTGAACATGTGAATTTTTTTTTTTTTTGGTGAGGAAGATTATTGTTCAGCTAACGTCTGTGCCAGTCTTCCTCTCTTTTGTATATGGAATACCACCACAGCATGGCTTGATGAACAGTGTGTAGGTCCGCACTCTGGACCCAAACCTGTGAACCCCAGGTGCCGAAGCAGAGCGTGCAAACTTAACCACTATGCCACCAGGCCAGCCTGAATATATGAATCTTTTTACAACTGGATTTTATGAAATCTAAATAAAGATTATTTTCTTTGAAAATTTAGCATTCAAATTGCAACGTGCTATAATAATAAAACACTAGATTTCAAAGACAGTATAAATAAAAGGATGTGAACTACTTCATTAAATTTACATTGAATACATGTTAACGTACTATTTTGATATATTCGGTTAAAGACAATATATAACCAAAATTAAAATCACCTGACAATCTTGGCTTTTTTAATGTGGCTGCTAGAAAATGTTAGATGCTGTATGCGGCTGACATTCTATTCCTATTAGCAGCACTGGGCTAGGTGGAAACAAATGTGCCCTGGACTAAGACACCTGCAGAGGGATGAGGGGTGCGGCAGATGGAAGAAACAAGGAAATGGAATCTGAGATCTGATGGCTGCCTTGGCCGGGCCCTTGGAAGCAGAGCTTAAGATGGGGGATCTCACACAAGTGCTTAACTGAGGGAGTGCATTCATGAGCAAGCTGTGTGGGAGTGAGAAAAGCAGGTGAGGGCAGAAGAAGCTTGCAGGGATGTGGTTTCACTATAAATCTGGCCTCAACCTGCTCCCAGGGTAGATCAGGAGTTAAGTTGCTCCAGAGGTTGTCCTGTCCAGAGAGGAGACAGCTGGGCTGTCACACTCGCTACATCAGTCAGTATTGGCTACGGGCCACCCAAGGGTGAGAACCCGTAATCCCCTCAGCATCTTGCGGTTGGGCAGCTTTCCTCAGCTAAGAGCAGTACTCCAGAAAAAGTAGAAGTCTGGGGATGGCCAGCAACCAACCTCTGCAGTAGCTGAGAGGTGGGTTCACCAGCCCCATAAAGGGGGGCACGACAGTGTCTCTTACAGTGGATGTGGGTCTGAGTGAAAGGAATGATACTATGGTTTCCTGGCATGGCAGTTAGGAAGAGCATGGTTCCATTCACCAAAAGAAGAACTATGGAAACCGTTGTAGGTTTAGCACGAAAGATGAGGAGCTTGCTTTGTATATGTTATGTCTGAGGTGCCTGTGAGCCATCCACGTGGGGATGCCCAGGAGCCCACTGGATGTAGAGGTCTGAGCAGAGAGATGAAGGATCGCGTCATCAGCAGGAGGTGGACCCTGAAGCCAAAGGCTTGGATGAGGTGACTTGGAAGAGGTATCTGGAGAAAGAACAGAGGCCTGGGGCCAGTACCTTGAGGAATGCTGACATTTACTGTGTGCGAAGCAAACAGGAGAAAGAAGGGAGGAACATGAGGAGGAAGCTGGACCCACAGAAGCCAAGGGGGAAGGACATGTCATGGAGGAGGGAAAGTTCAACAGACAAACGCCTCCAGAAAGGTCAAGTGAGATGCAACAGAGAAGGCATGGGTGGTTTTAACAGAGCAGTTTCTATGGCGCGTGCCGTGGAAGGCAGACTGCTGCAGCTGAGAAGTGGATGGAGGCGTGGCAGACCCTGTGGGTCAAATTCCACACCCACTTCTCCTTTCTTCTTTATTAACAGAACTCCAGTTTTATTTTTGCAGCACAGCTCTAGCCAAAAATCTTGGTGACAAAGGAAAGGAAAGCAACTGAATGAGAGCAGGGTGGGTATGTGTGCCCAAGATGAATTTGCCATCGGTTGGGGATGGTGAAAAGAGGTTGTCTGTTTGGGTTCATTGTTTTGGGGTCAAGAAGCCACAAGGGATGAAGGTTGACAGCATTACCTACTAAACCCTATCTGGAGAAATGATGAATACTAGGTAGGTGTTCTACCAACCCAGTGTAGACAGCTTTCTTTTCCCTGAGAATAAGATGAACTGTGCTCCCCATGAGTGAAACACCTTTTGCCACCAAGAGCTCCCTTATGGATGCAAAACTCTTTGATCATTGTTAGATAAAGAATACTTTTGCCACCCCTTTGCTGCTCCTGTCCAGTTCCAGGGCTCTTTGGTAAATCCCCAGTGAACTCAGGAGTCCTAGGCTTGTGTGGCTCAGATCCACTTTCCCCCCTGCTTCATTAGCCCAGAGACTGAGGCCCTGAGCATTCCAGCGCCAGCCTGCAACTCAGCCTCCTCAAGAGAATGTGTGTTCTGTGACTGGAAAAGGATAAAAGCAGGAGCAGGATAAGGGGGCTAGAGAGTGGGGGCAGGGTTCCAGATTATAAAAAATCAAATGAAAGAAGTGAGGAAGGGTCGTGCAGAAGGGGAAAGGGCCCTGCAGACCAAATAGCCTTTTCACAAGAAATTCTGCTTGCATTTTGAGGAGGGTTGCAGAGCAGGGGGAAGCTTCCCCATGGGTTCACAGGTTAAGAACCTCTCTGTAGGATTGACCTCAAACATTCCCTTGTGCTTCATCAGTGCAAGGAACTCCTGTGTGCCATAGTTATTCTCTCTCACTCACTTGCCAAGATTTATTAAATGTCAAATTAAAATGCTAGGCATTGGAGTCACACAAAATAACGTGCAGCCCCACCAACTCCCTCAAGGACCACACAGTCTAGATGAAAAAGACAAACAAGCAGACAAACAGACACATACACAAAAGCATGTACAACTCCATGAGTATGAAGGTGGAGCTTAGTTCCTGAGTGGGAGGTCAATGCCCTCAGGAAGAATTGACTTCTATGCTTGAAGAAAAACCAATAGGTAGTAAGTCAACAGAAGACAATAGCAATTCCTTGGGATTTAATAGGTGATTTTTTAAAAAAGGATTCTTCCTTCATATAATTTTCTTGTGCACAGGGTTAAACAAACTTTCCTTAATGTAAAATTTCATTTATTTTTAACATATAATGAATATATAAATGGAAAATTTAATGTATATTGCTTCCCAAACCTACTAGAGGGAGAATACTTTCTTCACAGGGCACTTGTATTTATTAAGTATTGTATTTACTTGGTAGCAAGTAACAGACAAGCGAAAAAGACATGGGTTAAAAAATAAGGGATTTGTTTTGTCACATAAAATGTGTGGGGAGAGCTCTACTTGTGTTATACCAGGCTAGAAAATTCAGAGTGCTCTCACAAAGAACTAGAAAAGCTGGACAAAATATATTTTTTTGATATCTGAAGGCATAGGAGAGTTATGGGTCCAAGATCTGAGAGAAGAAGGAAACAGAGAAGTGAACCCTGCATATGGGATAGCTCTTACCTCAGAGCTCTTGGCAATTCTGTGAGAGCCCAGTAAGAGGCTGAAAACTGAGCAGAACTTTCAAAGACCTACAGAGCTTAAAGGAAACTAGAGTTTAGGGGCAGTCAAAGATAGGGCTTGGGTAACCACTCTTCTTCAGTTTTGGATTAGGACCCTAAAGAGCTAAATTCTAGGAATAAGAATAAACCAGAAAGAAATAGACCCATAGGATCTTAAACTCAGGCTTGAATCACCTCAAATCCTAATTGGATTAAAATGATTTGGAACTCTTAGTTCCTCTGGCCAAACAGACTACCAGAAGCAAAAATAAATGTTCTCTGAAGGAAGATAATATCATCAGGAGCTTTGAATTATCTCGGTAATTTTTCATACACAATGTTCAACACACAACCTAAAATAACCAGCAGACAATGGAAACAGTCCAGATGGGATCCAACAGCGGAGTTATCAGACAAAGCCTTACACAGGAAATGTATTAAATATAAATAGAGCAAAGGTTACAATTAAAGACTAAGATTGTCAGGCAAGGGGGGCTGGCCTCGTGGCCGAGTGGTTAAGTTCGTGCGCTCCGCTTTGGCTGCCCAGGGTTTTGCCAGTTCAGATCCTTGGCACGGACATGGCACCACTCATTAGACCACATTGAGGCAGCGTCCCACACACAACAACTGGAGGGACCCACAACTAAAATATACCTCTATGTACTTGGAGGATTTGGGGAGGAAAAAAAAGATCGTCAGGCAAGATTTTAAAAATATGATAGACTATTTAGAAAAGACATACCTTAAATATAAGGTCACAGGAATGTTGAAAGTCAAAGAATAGAATGTTATACCATGCAAATATGAACTAAGAAGAGCTGGTATGGAGTAAACAAAGACTACTTCAAGGCAAAAAGCATTACTAGAGAACAAGAGATTTATTTTATAATTATAAATGTTCAATTCATGGGAAATACAATTCTAAATGTGCACATACCTACACACACACACAGATACACACACACAAATTCTTCACCAGCAAATTCTATGACTCTTTTAAGGAAGATATAACGCTAATCTTTCATAAATCTTAAGTATGATATAATGCCAATCTCTCACAAACTTTTCTACCAAATAGAAAAAGAAAGAAAACTTCCCTTTGAGCTTTGTAAGGCCAGTAGAACCTTGATACCAAACCTGATAGACATTACCAGAAAGGAAAATCACAAATCAACCTCATGAATGAACAAAGATGCAAAAATCCAAAGCAAAATATTAGCAAAATGAATCTAGTAATATATAAAAATGATAATACATCACACAAGTTGGGTTTATCCTAGAGTGAAAGATTCACTTAAAATACAAAAACTAATAAATGGAATTCACTATATTTACAAACTAAAGGAGGAAACTCATATGATTATCTCAGTTGATCAGAAAAGTGCACTTGATGAAATTTAACAACCATTCATAATGAAAGCTTTTAGAAAACAAGAAATAGAAAACCTCCTTAATCTCGTAAATAGCATTTACAATATCTTATGTAATGGTGAAATGTAGAATGTTACATGCTCCTTTTCACTGATTCTATGCAGCCTCACACTGTGCACCCTAGACAGTATAATAGGGCAAGAAAAAGAAATAAAGATTAGAAAAAATAAAGGTGTCATTATCCTCAGATAGTATGATTATGTGTGTAGAAAATCCAACGAATTTACAGGTGAATTTTTAGAATTAATAAGGGAGTT